TAGGCAGTTCTCTTGTGAGGTCTCTTCATAATGAAAAAAGCACATCCCCTTCTTACTTTGCCAGAGGGTTTAAAGGAAATAACCTGGCCCTTATGCATAATGAATCCCCAGGATTAACTGATTCTAGGCTTTGTCGATAGAAGGTTAATGAGAGACAGATGCGGGGGTGGGTGATGTGCAGCATACACCTCTGTGAAGCCTTTTGGACTCCTCTCTAGAATCTTCTGTATCCTGTTGACAAAAATGAAGTTTCTTTCCCTGCAGGCAAGACAGCTTTGCAGACCAGGGGTCTGCTGCTGGCTCGCCTGCAGCTTAAATGGTAGTAGAGCAACACCAAGAGAGCTTACAGAGTATTTCTTAATTGGGTGCACAGAATCCTGTCTACTAATGACCGTTTAAATACCAGCACCATTAGCTGCTTCACTGTGGAACTACCTACCAGATGTGTAACAACCATGTTTACGGGGCTGTTTGCAGCTGGTTGTACCTTCTCTGGGCTCATGCCCCAGTCATCGAAATGGGTGTTTTGCCATCTGCTTAAGTGAGACACACACAGTACAGCCCACTGACACATCCTCTCACGCTGCACGAAATGCCCTGTGCAGGGTCAGGAGGGAGGGCAGTGTCAAGGTCAAATGACTGCAGTCATCTGATTTTTATTAAAAATAACATTTAAAAAGAATAACCATCTTATTGCTACCAGAATACTACACTGCATTTTTCTGCTGGGTGAAGAAAATCTCTCTGAATGTTTTATTCAACAGGAACTACTACACTGCTATTACAAACTTTCTTTCCCAAACTAATTTCCTGAGCTTATGCTGCCAGAATTCTTGCTCTCCAGGGCAACTCTGCCCTCACTCATTGCCTTCGCAGTTTCTGCTTTCAAACCTGTCACCCGGGTGCCAGCGAGCAGCAGATCGTCTCGGTGGGGTTACAGGGCTCATTGTGGTGCACCCCCTCCAGGCTGGAGCTGAGAAAGCCAGCAAACTGCATAAGATCACCTGAAAAGCACTCATTACTTCCTTCTGTGACTTACCTGGATTCTCCTCTAGTGGACACGGAACGTGTTGAGGGCCTGGGATGTTCTCCAAACACAGTGTCACATTAGGACTCTGAATGAACCCTCCCAGAAGCAGAGATTGTCAGCCAAGTGACCCCAGAGTTCAGCCAAGATCAGAAGCAATTAATAAAGGAAATACAAGGGACATGAAATACACAAATTTTGGAAATTTTGAGTGGCTCTGCAAATAAAAGATATTCTTATCCAGAGGTAAAAAAGAATTGAGGTTCCTGACCTTCTCCTAGAGCGCTGATGGGTCACCTCTGTGTGACTCATCCACCTTTAAGCTAGGATGGAGCATGACAGAGGGGCTACAAAGTTGTAAAAGCCATCTCCTCTTCAAAAGTTCATTCAGAGTCATTACTGTGGGAGAAGAAATTTTTTCCCTCTATCTTGGCTTGGGGTAAAGCTGCCATTGGCATAAGAACATTAAAAATATGCATGCATACATATCCAGATTGACTCCAGTTAAGATGATTCAATATACAAGTTTTTGATTTATGATGAGTCAAAGCAATACAAATGCAGTAGAAATTATACTTCAAAGTTTGCATTTGTATCTTTTCCCAGGATGGTGATATTCAGCATAATACTCCCTGGAGATACATGGTAGTGACAGTGAATTGTAGCTCCCAGCCAGTCATGTGATTATTTCTCATGGAGAAATAATCCATGATGTCTTGTAGGCTACATGTATTTGATCCATTCTTAAACTGATACTTTAAACTGAACTATACACTTACCCAGACGGAGCTCTTTGATTAAGTTGAAGAATATCTATAGTGATGAATGACCATAAGACAGACAAAATGCTAAAGAAAAGTAGTCACTCCCCAGAACTGGCACTGGAGGGCAAGTTCCAATGTCCACTATTAAGACACCTTCTGACTAATATTTGAAGTGAGCACGTAGAAATCTACCAAAGTCCATCTAGATTCTGAGCCCCGCCCTCTTTGGAGGGTGTCCAAGGATTTTGATTCAAGAATTTTGAGTCAAAAACTTCATCCTTGCTTAATAAGGTGCTCCCAATCTAGCCACATGAGGATCTTTAAATCTATGTATCAGTGCCTGAGCCTTACCTAGATAAAGGGTGTCAGCTTCTTTTAATAAGCGTAGAGGCCCAGACAAGGATAGCCTCTGGGTGACACTGCTGTTCAGCCAGCATTGAAGCTAGAACTTCATTGGTCAGTGATCAACTTTCACAGTTTAAAACAAATGTAAAGAAAGATATTGTTCTTTACAGAATTGACTGCATGACTAAGAGGATAAATAGGACTTAGAAAATACAGAAACAGTCACCAAAGACACTGACTGGGACCGTGCCTTAGAAATGTGCTTGCTTTGTAATTTCTGATGTGTCACTATTCACCTTTTTGTTGCTCCAGAACATTCTGGAACATAGGAGTCTAATTGCTCTTCAAGACGTGATAACTGTGTGAGATGAGCAAATACTCAGACCCAGAACCTGCCTTCCTCATCCTGAAGACAGCACATAGTCAGCCCTTGTCTCTCCTTTCCCGGGCTTTGCTTTTCAGTGGTTCACAAAACAAAAAGAGGGAAAAACACACTGTCAAGGTTAATGATGTAGACAAACTCCAAAGGATAAGTGCATTTTATTAAAAGAGGAGTACAAAATAAGTATCTATTCTCCTTCTGAAGACTGATAACTCTTGTTGACTACAGCAAAGATGAAAAACACATGCACCTACTTTAATTTTATACACAAAGAGGGTGAAAAGGCCAAAAAGAATAGGGCAGACTATTTCTTCTGTTCGTGTTGACCTGTCTCTTACAGTCCAAGTACAGAAAGTCTCAGCTCTGCAGATCAATCCTGGAGATAAATAAACAAAGGGAAGATGCTCCCTTGGAACTCTTCCAGGCCAAAATGCACCTGCTTTCAAGAGTCACTAGTGGTAACAACTATCACAAGGAAAAGATGTAATCTCTAATGCCGTTATTTTTATATTTTGTCAATTTAGTGACTACTTTGAACCAGAAATTTCAAATGAGAAACCGATATCCTTTGTTAAGGGCAGAACATATGCTGATGACTTTACTAAATACTTTATTCTTAATATCATTCAATTCACACCACAGGATTTTGAACTAGGTGGTTTTATTTCATCTCACATAAAAAAGACTGAGTCTTAAAAATGTTAAGGGCACCTTCCCAAAGCCGTGCCACTTACAAGTAATGAAAAGAGTCAAACCCATTTGTGTATGATTGGATCCTTTGTTCACAACTGTTCTACGTGTCAGTGATGGGTATCAGGACTCACTTGGGTAGGAATGCTTGAGACCAGGGAGAGAGACCTGGAGAACAAACTTTGAACATGGCTAGTAACAAGAAACTACCTGTGCTTTGAAAGTGAATCCAGGCAAGTTTGATGGATGGCAAGAACTAGACCTCTCCCCTTCATGGCATCTCCAGACCACTGGGGAACAATTCTAAGGGTAGTAGTTTATCACAACTCTCAGTATCCAGCCATGCAAGAAAAACAATAAAAAATGCGGGGAACCCTACCATCACCTAGAAATTACTTTCTGGGGTGATTTGAGCCCTTATAGTTCTCTTCAAAAGTAAACCTGAAGAAACCAAACTCAAAGGGCTACACTTTTAAGTTATTTCACACCTGCTGCATTCTGGAAAAAGTAAGTGTGTCATGAATGGGGAAAATACACACCAGTGCTTACCAGAGGCTGGAGGGTAGGGTAGGAATTAACTGAAAAACGATGTAAGAGAATGCTTTAGGTATGGTGAAATTGTATTATTTTCTAATTGTGATAGACTTTACATGACTGTCCATTTGTCAAAACTTACTAAATGTTAGATGAAAAATTGTCAGGTTTTACCATATGTAAATTACACTTCAATGAAGTTTTTTCTCTAGCTGATAAATCTGGAGTTAAGCTGTCCACTATGTAACTGCATTACGGAAAATCCAGAGGCCTGAATACCTCAGTCATTCAACATTCCCAGGGGGAAGATTTTCTGCAGATGGTCACTTCAGGCTGATACTACAACCAATGAGAAGGAGGTACTAAAGTGAGTTTTCTGACAAAGGCTTCTGTGGCAGTTCGAATAAGAAGCTGATTGCTAGGGTTACTAGAATGATTTTATGTCTCCATTTCCCAGCTCTTCAGAGGCCATACTGTATGCTTGATGGAAACATTCATTTGGAAAATTGGCTTATATCAGATGAAATATAACATCAGTGTTTTTAACCTATATCTCACATGACATACATATCTTTATTATCGTGTCTTGTTGCATTTCGAAGGCCATACTTGTCTCTGTATGCACCCCAGAAAAAAATAGAAGAGAAATTTCACTAAAAATACTAAACACTAAGGCTACCAGCAACCTTGGAAAGCTAAGCATTGACTTAACATAAGATTTCAGTAGGAATGTGACATCATCTTAATCTATTTGGCCTTCATGCTCTAGGTCACTTGTCCCCCTATACATTCTCTTTGGTAAAGGTACTTCTTGTCTTGATGTATCCAATTAGCCCCTTTGCTTTCTATCAAAGACCGCCTGCTTGAGGGAGATCTAGCCTTCTGATCCATGTTATTTAATAGCTCAACTGGAAAAGGAACACAAGGCACACAAATATAGTCTAGCACTGGAAATAATCAGATCAGTCATGCAAATTAATAAGTACTAAGGTCGTATCCCAAAAGATGATAGGGCAGTCCAGTATAATAAAAGCTGTCAGAAAGAAGGGATTGGAAAGACAAATGAGAATTAAAAAGCCAGTGCAATTTTGTACTGCTGTTTAAAGTTACGGATTATGTTGTTAGGTATGTGATCTCCTGGCCATACGTATTTGAGAGGTAGCCATTCTCAGTGCCTCACAGCAAGATGTAGGCTACTCTGTTAAGATTTTGTTGGATCTTTTTTATAATTTAAAAATAAATAAATAAAGACAACTGATTTTTTCCCAAAGGACATTTTAATCATTTACATAAAAAAGTATAGCATTAAAGTAGCCAATCCTAATACTAGGACTTAAACATCATGTAAAATAGCTAAAAGTGTGTGTGTTTGGGAGGGGGGGAGCCATCCAAAAGTACAGAACACCTAAACCTGCAAAATTTTCCAACTGATGTACTGATTATCAGATACTTTATGTAGATTTTTTTACATTGCTTCCTAGGAAGAAGTTAAATTTTCACTTTCTTATAAATTCCAAGCTTAAACAAAAACAAAAATTGCATGAAACAATAGACACAACTCTCACATATGTCCAAAGTATTTATTCTATAACCATAAATGCTATCATTTTATCATTGTCATCTGATTTTATTATAATCTAGAGTCATTCACATAAAAGTTCATGATGAGACACAAAAACTAATTTTTTAACATATGACTATCCTATAGAAAACTGGCTAATATTTATTGCTATTGTTGTTACTGTTATGGTTTACCAAAAAAATGCCAGCCATAGACAGGGGTTGGGGGCATTGAATGGTAAGTCTGATTTTAGCTGTATGATGTAATGTGCCTTTCAAATTAAATTACAAAGTAAAAGATTCTACTGACTCTTAAAGTGGTAGAAAACGAGAAAACAGGAGAAAAAAATCAAGCACCTCATCCAAAGATCCTTCCAAGACCCACAGACAGTATACAATTTAATGCATAAAATTTCCTTTCTCTAGAAAACCCAGAGCATTTTACAGACATAATATAGAATGCCAAGTTTACTTATCTGGTATTTTCAAAGTATTATTCCAAGAGATACTGAGAAAACAAAGTTAAAAATTTGGTCACTTGAGTACCTTCAGCTATATTAATCTGCCTAATTAAGCCTCAGTTTCTTTTTATGCATGGAAGAAGGGCTACAGTGAACAAGGGTTGTTCACAGAACAAATTTTCTTGTACAAAGAACCAACAAGACCTATGCAGAGTTCCCTAATTTAAGTTCCTTAATTTTTACATGCCTTCCTAGAGGCTCCATTGAACCCACTGTGCCCATTCACCTCTAACAATTGTACTCTGAAAGAACCTTATTTCCATGGGAAATGCATCTACAAGAGGCAGAAGATTCCCAAGAGGACTCATCAAATCAGGACGAATATCTTAAGTATCCAGTGATATAACACTTTGCACCTAAATATCATTATTAAAGAAAAATATTTCTAGATTCTCCTGCATATATCTAAATAAAAGGAGAAGACTGTTTATGACAAACATTTTATTTCTTTTTGACTCTAACAGCTAGACACTTTACTTGGGTTCCTTTTGGAAGAAAAGATCATAATTCACAAGGTAACCATCATTATATACATAAAGTTTTTGGTCATAGGGGTGGTAATTAATGCTCTGCACTACTTCCTGCATTTTAGGCATTGGAATAGCCAGATTACCTTCTTTTCCTGTGTTTGTGTCATAGTAGTAAAAAATTTCTTCCATTCTGGTATTCAAAGTACGAGTGGCATAGAGAACCCCACATACCATGAAGGTGCCAGAAACAGATGGCCTGTACATCTTGGTAACCCAAGTGTTTAGCACCTCAAGTGAGGTATCATTGAGGAGACTAATCACTATGTTACCAGTGCTGGCTTCCGTTGCATAAGTCACCCACAGACCTTGCTCATCCACAGCAAAGTCAATATCTTGCCAAGCGACATTGGCATATGAAAAACGGTTGTTATAGGCAGCATTAGGGAGCTGTCGAGTCACAGCCACTGAGTGGGGGGTTAAGTTAATTCTGACAATGTTCCCAGTGTAGTGCCAATTGACGTACATGTTGTTTTTGTAAACTGTAGCACCACTACCTTGGCCAGCGTTAATTGAAGATTCTTGGAAGTGTGTATACAACAGCAAGTTATCCAATGTGTTGTAGAGTCTGTAAGATGAAAGTGTCCTTCCATTTGTTTCCAAAGGTGCTACCCAATACAGTGTTTTGTTTGGATGTTCAGGAGAATAATCCCGACCCCAGGAACCATACTTATAAGAAAACCCTCTCCAGTTGAGCTGAACCACAGATGGTCTGCTGATGTTCACCACACCTCCGTGATTACAGGTTCCTATATAGAAAAGAAAATTTAAAAAGACATTCTTTAAAAAAATGAACAGCAGGATACAAATAAGTTATATCTGAAAAGCAAAGCATCCATCCATACTTTTCCTGTCAAGGTTCAATGATAACAACAACGCAGACGGAGAAGAACACAAATCCCTCTTGGTTTTAATCTCATTGTGAATCCACGCTCAGTCCTACAGAGAATCACCTTCTATTTCCACTGATGGGCTCTCAGTCTGAGAAATAGGAATACTAAAATGTCAGGAGCCGCATTTAAAGGTTTAGAAGGCCCAGAGAGTCAAAAATGGGGGAAAATGATGACTTTAATACAAGGGACCAATCCTGCTACAAGGTGACTTCAGAAGAGGAAGTTTAAAATACAGCATGTTATGGATCTAGGAAAATCATCTTATGATGGTGGGATTTCAGCCTTGAGAAGACAGGAAGTTAGTTCAGGGTAGCAATGCCTGTTGTGTGCCAAGTACATAATCCAATACATAAATCACTGGATGACCATTTTGCTGCAAGTTATGAGTTGAGTCCTGCTGTTCATAAGCCATATGAACAGTGCACATATTTCAACAACAGGCATGTGTTTCATCCTTCCTATTCTGATATAGTCATTGTCACAACGTGTATAATCAAGTGGGACCAGATGCACTGGTCCATTGAATCTACATTCCCTGTAACACTTGGGTAAATGACTTGGCTGGGCAACTGGCCCTTCACGCAGTCCCTCTGAAACGCCTGCCAACCCAAAGTGTTTATGAGCTACAGAAAATGAAATAAAATTCCCCCAGTGTTTTAATAACCAAACAAAGAGTTGCATACATATTTTTCTGGAATCTTAACAAACATTATCTTTTTAAAAAACTAATGATATGGTTTAAAAAAATCTAACTGTACATGAAAGGTCATTTTCCATTATCCTGCTGCCCAGGGAAGAGAAGGTGAGGAAAGGAAGGAACAGAATTTGAATCACTGAAATCTGACTTTAAACTCATGGAGGGAATCAGGGAGCTATGGAAGACACATGAGTGAGCTGGACCAAAAGCAAAGCTCCACAAAATTGCCCGAGATTAGCACTGTGGTGGTACAGGGAGCAAAGCTTGTCTCCGAGTCTCTGCCTTTGGCCAATATCCTTTCCTTCTTGCGTGCTTCCTCTCTATCCTCCTCAATCAAGAACTGCTCGGTGGTGAAACCACATCTGGACTTTTGTTTTTATTTTCCCTATCTGCTGGGACTGTTTATTCTCAGAATTAAATACATGTCCCTTAAATGCTCTCATATATCTATAGTTGGTGGAAATCCAGCCAACCATACAACAGGTAGAAAATGAAACCACTCTGTACCCAACCTCAAATAATTTTGCATATCATTAAGCAGAACACAGTCACAGGTTTATTTTAATAATGCACGCGCCATTTCATAAATAAAAAAGCAATGGGTGTTCAGCCAAGAGACTGCTCTCCACTAAAGAAATAATAAATAAAATTATAAATTATTATTTCTCCTCCTAAAAATGATCTCTCAGATGAATGCTTGTTTGCTTTGTTTATGAAATAATGTATGAATTATTAAAATAAAGTTAGTGGTGTGTGCAGTTTAATGTGAATAAAAACAGTTCCAGTTTCCATATGCTGCAAACTGAATTTTTTTAGTTAAAATATCTTCCTGACACCTTAGTCACGCAATTGCATTTCACTGTGAGGAAATGAAAGGAAGACTTTTTTCCTTTCAGGTTGGAAGATTTAAGAATTGTTTGCTTCACTGAGTCTTACTTTTCTAGAAAGAAAATATCACAAACCAACAGTAACAAAGTATTTCAGGAGAATTTATGATGCATGTAACTCACTCAAGCACTATTGTGGGGTTAAAGATAAACCATTCTGTCTCTCAATGTAGAAATCTGAGGAACCAAAATAAACTTCCAAATATTACTGTTCAGACTACTATTATTATACCAACAATCCTATTTTTTGTACTAAGCATCAGTTTCCTCATCTTGAAAGAAAAATAACATTCAAAGACGGAAAGAAAAGAAAGTTTTTAGAGTGTCTTAATGAATTGCAACATCAGCACTCTAATTATATCATGTTTCAGGTGAAAAAATTTGCACAACTGTCTCCTTTCCTCCATAGTGGCTTCTGGGAGCTTGTTTGTTCATTGCAATAACCCCAGAACCCAGAATACAGCCAGCCACACAATGGCATCAAATTATGTTTGTGAAATAAAAGACAAAAGACATAGACTCCCACTTAACCTCATTTATAAAGCGCAACCCCCACACACACTGCTTCACATCCGATTTTTCAAAGAGCCTACTATTTACTCTGCAGAACATAACATGAGGAACTCTTCTGTGCAAGTGAAGCTGTAGTTGTCAATCCCTTCACCATGCAACTCACTAGATCCTTCCCCAGTACTCCTATAATATCCAAGGAAGCCACAGTAGTGAAAGTTTAAACTATGTTTTTTTTAGCTTTCAAAGTTACCACAAGCTTGGCATGTGGTGTACACCTGTAATCGAGCGGCAGAGGCAGAAAAACCAACACAAGTTCAGGACCAGCTCGAGCTACGTAGTGAATTCAAGCATAGCCTGTTCTCCACAGCAAGACCCTATCTCAAAAAAACAAACAAAACTGGGTTTTTTTTTTAAACCAGAGAAACCTTAATCTTGGGTCAACGCACTAAAAATGCACTCTCTTACCTGGGCAACTAAACTTTATTTGAACCAAAAGGAGAGAGAATATGATCACCTTGGAACAAATTAGGCAATTAAAATGACCATAATCATAAAAAGTAAGACCAGACTGACTCTGAATTATCTGCTGGTTAACAGTCTTTTCTAATGCTGGAATTTCAGCAGATCATCCTGTTTTTCATGCCCATGTACTGAGGACCTACTGTGTACTAACACCACCAAGCAAAATAGTGATTGAACCCAGAGCATTCTCATTACATGCCATGTCAGTCATTTAGATTCAAAATAAAAAAGAGAGTGAAGTGAGTTGTTTTAAGGGAAAAAGTTAATGAGAAGGCCAATTATTTTAAATTAGAAAAGTCTATGAAATGAAGCAGAAAAGAATGTTATTTGCAGCAAAAATCAAATACAAAGTGCATTTTTAAAACCAAAATACACATACTAATTCTAAGTTCAAGATGACCACAGAATTGACAAACTATAGCCACAGAGAGGCCCCCAAAAAATGCAGAATTGCTTTATAGCTCAGACATGCACACAGCCTTTTTTGTTCTGTGAGGCTCTGCAGTGCAGAAAAGCAGACAGGCCAGATTTTAAAATCTCATAATAGTGAGTAACTTTAATTAAAGTCTCCATAGGCTCACAACTTTGTGGTTCCTGGGTATTTTCCAATTCTGCGTTATCAACCAATCCAAACAGAGAGCAAGCTATAGAAATTGATTTAAAAACAGGATAAAAGTCAGTTTAATATAAACATCATAAATATAACATGAACAAAGCTGGAGGAGGGCCAAGTGGTTTGGCAGTGACCCAGACAGAGCCAAAGTTGTGGGAAAGTGAGGGGAAATCTGGGTTCAATTTGCTTAAACAACACAGCAGGGCTAGATGGTTCACAGAAGTCTACGTGTGAGGGCTGAAGGGAAAATTCTGAAAAAAATTCTAATAAAAATAATCCAACAGGTTCACTTGTTTTCCTCCCTGCATGCTAAGCACTGTATTTTGTCCCTCACAACTCATACGCTGAGACGTCATGGAGTCCTTAGATGATCAGGGAGTGAAGACCCTTGCATTTCCACTTCAGCTCTGTTACCAGCTACCTCAGGGAAAACAGCATCCTCACAACTCAAGTCCCCTTCTCTGAGACATGCACAGGCTAATTTCAATGGCCCTGAGTGCCCTTTCTTGCTCTAAAATGTCCTAACACATTTGTAAAAGAAAATATGCCAGAAAAAAACCATTGCATGAGGGATATTTTCTGAGGAAGGGGGACACTTGTTTGCTGATTATCAGAGGTTGTCACATTGCTTGACTTCTGCTTCAGCGATCACCTGTGGTCCAAAAGAACCATCTCTCAATTCCAACACATACTTAGACTACTGATCCCCAGCCAAATTTAGCCTTAGTTTGTTCCAGAGAACAGTCTTCAGCCTAAACATCCTCTCATGGCAGGCTGTAGGCAGGAAAAGTGTCCCCTGACCAAAACCTAGAAGCTTACAAGGATGGTCAGATTTAATAGATGTCTTAAGCAAATCAGTTGCCCTGACAAGGAACCAGAAATGCACAGTCCTAAAGAAAACAAGTTGTAAAGATTGGAACGGATAAGAATAACAAAGGCTGTATGATTTGATGAAAAGAGACAGCCCTCCTGCAGCTGAGAGCAGAGAGCAGTTGGCTGTGACATTGGGTCTCCGAAGGATAAGGCTGAATGCTGCAGCCAAGAGGCTGCCTTTAGTCTACCTGGGGGGCTGCGCCTCAGTGCTCATGGATCCAGCCCTGCTTCTGTTCACAGCTAGGCTTTCCCTGCAATTATCATCATTACTGATATTATCCATTGCCAGAGAATAGGCGCTGAGTGAGAACCCTGAGCTCCCCAAGTGCCGTTTTACTAATCCCCATAGCAACCTAATAGTGTAGGCACTGTTATCCTTCCATTTAAAAAGTAAAGAAATTAAGGATTTTGGCTTATAGTCACGTGGCAAGGAAGCTCAGGTCTTCAGAAATGCTAACTTTTATGCTTTGAAGCCCCTACTTGGCTGTCTCCGTTCATGGGTGTGTTTCCAGAATTCTCTGTCCCAAAATATGCTTAACACTAGGAGAATCAGTGAAACTCACAGTCCTGGACAGGTGGCAGGACACACCCAGGAAGACCACAACAAGCGGGGCCATCCTTCCGTCCTCCCTGAATCCCACAGCACACAATGCAGCAGGAGCTCAACATGCATTCAAAGGAAGAATATTGGAAAAGGAGTAAGAGAGGAAAGTAAAGAAGAATTCAGCACTCACCCAACTCGTCAGATAAATAAGCCAACCAGCCCTTACTATCATTAGGACAACAGGTGCCACACAGACTTTTTAGGCTTTCCCCAGGACCCCTGGTAGCTCCTCTCTCACCAGAGAGATGGTTTTCCTGTTAGTGAATACAAAGGGAATCTGCGTAACTTGTGGATTTTGTTGTAAATCGATCGTGTTCTTTCTTTATAAACCCCAAAATATGACAGTGAAACTATTCAGAGGAGGAGAAAATGTCCTCTGAAAAAGATCAAGGGGCCTTGGAGAGAACAGAAAATTTAAAGTATGGAAGAGTAAGCTAAATAAAAATGCTACCCTACCTCCACCGCTAGAGCCCCAAATCCCTTTCCCAATCTACTCACAGCTCATAGAAACATGGTGTGCTTACCTGGGGCAGGAGCAGGAGGGACAAGAGAAGCCTGTTCGTTTTGGGCCTCACATTCCTTCAGCCTTTCCTTTAGTGCCAAAATTTCTCGGCGAATGACAAGGACATTGTTTTTGTCTAACGTCTCCAGCTTCTCTATCAGGAGAGTCATATTCCTTATCTAAGGAAATAAAAATTCACAGTGACTTTATATTATTGTGCAATTTCTTTCATAAACATTCCAGGGCTGAATTTGTCACTTAGTGAAACATTGCTGCAGAATACACCAGAGATTCTTCTGAATGATTTCATTTGGAAGAATACATTTTATGATTTAGTGTGAATGCCTGTCAGATCTCAGCAGATGTGAGTAACAAGAAGAAAATGGCAAAGGCTTTAACAGCTTTAATAATAGAGCACAGATTCACTCTAAGCATCCACAAATGTCCATTAAAGTTCATTTCTAATAACCTTCCTTTCTAAGCTCATGTTTACTCATGTTGTATTATAGTTAAGTTTCTAATGAAGGATGAGGGCTAGAGAAAACTTAAACTCTAAAATATGTAGCTCAAATTCTCAATTATACCCATGTCATGACTGCAAGTAAATTCTCATTGATATAAATTACCCAACCGTAACATTAATGCGATGATCTTTATCCACAGATCTTAAAAGACTTCACTAAAACATACTCACAAGAAATTTCTTAAATGAGGTTGCCAGTATGTGGAGAAGAATTCCAAGAGGGATCAAGATTAGTCCATTGAGAGAAACAGTTAGTGCTAATATTGTTTGATCAATTTTGCAGGCCTATATCTGGTAATCTGAGCAACTATTTTGAAGACAACAATATAGAATATGATAACCATTGTTGATTTCCTATCATCTTGTTTTGAAATTCTGTATTGTTTTTATAATTCTGTTTTTTGAAAAAGTAAAAAACAATTAGATGTCCATTCAAAAAGATAAACAGTTCTGACATGTTCACATTTAGGTATATTGTGGATTTCTAGACCCACTAGGATAAAACCAGAGCAGAGTAAACATCTGATCTAGCATAGCCATGGACAGCTGGCCAGATTCATTGCTCCTTCTTTCTAAAGAACTTGAAAGACTGAGGGACGGCGTTCTGTCCATTAAGCAATATCTGTTCCTCTACCAACATGTTCCAAATGTGCTTGATTTGCTATACAAAAACAGGCATCCACTCAGAGCAGAACATGGATATGCGTATCATGAAAGAGTGACAGAGTTAGAATTGGTAAAAGAGAGATTCCAATCCAAGTCTAGAATTTGCTAATAGTCACTGAAAAGCCATTAGTACTGACACACAGTTAAATGACTGGGTTCACTCCTTACCTCCATTTCTAGCTGGACAACAATTTGTTTGCTTCCAACAAAACTCTCCTTCAGCCGTGTGATCAGTTTTGTCATTTCCTTCACTTCTATCTTGATAAGCTCAAAGTCCAGTTCAGTGTAAGAAATGCTGTCCTTCTCCATTATTTCTACTCGGACAGTTAAGTTGAAAAGTCTCTTTTCGTAGGTAGTGATTAATTGGGCATATTCCTTCACCTGAAGGGGAGTCAAAAACCTCAAGTCAATCCCCAGAGTAATACTTCAGAATCTTCTATCACTATTAAACTCTTGAACACTGTTTGATCCCTTAAAATCATCAATCACTGTTTTGTTGTGACAAAGAAATGAACCAAAAATAATACTTAGGTTTTAAAAATCTATCTGTGGTTAATCTTGACTTGATTGGATTGAAAAACACCTAAGAAACTAGTAAGGCACACTTGTAAGTGTTTGCATGAGGGTATTTCTGGAGACATTTGGCACATAGGACAGAAAGCTAAGGAGGAGATACACCCTGACAGCGGGCAGCACCATCCAGTAGGTAGGGGCCTCGAGAGGAAAAACGGAGAAGAAGGTTGCTAGCACAGGCTCTTGCTAACTGCAGTTTCTCTGCTTCCTGGCTGACATGTAAGTAGCAACTCCTCTCTTCCGCACTGTACCATCATAAAGTTTCTGCCCCCACCAAAGGCCTAAAAGTGTTCGAGCCAGCTGCCCATGGACTAAAATGTCTGAAAACACGAGCCAAACTAAACCTTTTCTGTTTTAAGTGTTAGTCTCAGTAGTTGGTCAAAGCAGTTGAAAAGCTGACTTCTTCACCATCTTAATAAATGCAAATTAAAGGAACATATTACTTTAATGGGGGGGAGGGGCAGGATTGCACTTACCCAAACTGAAAAGTATTTTGCTTTAGGATCATCACATATAAATAATGTTTGAAGATATTAGCTCCCCAAGCTAAACTGGTTTGACTCAGAGCCTCTTTTCATTCGTCTTCTTTTCAACACATTTGCCGTACACTGGAGTATTTCAACCTCACCACTACTGACCTTTTAGGTAGATTTCATACAGAAGGCTGTTCTGTGTACTGTCGGCTATCCAGCTGTCCCATATGCCACTAGTACACTCCTACCCACCAAATGCAACAACCATTAATCTCTTAGGACGCTGTCAAATCTTCTCTGAAGACCAAGTGATGACCACCCTCTCTTTGTTTAGAACCGTTGCTCTAAATCTAAGAATTTTGCTGAAAAAATGGTATGTAGAATTTCACTTTTGATGATCAATGTGCAATGAGCTTTGAGCTTCTCTGCCTTTTATAAAATGGCAAAAAGACTCAACTTACTACACAATGTATGCGTGTGTGCGCGACTGTAAAGTGCACATTTCATTAAGTACGCTCACATTTATTCCAAGAACTGATTATTGCAATCAGACCTTTAAATCACACATTTGTTGCATATATTTGAATGTCTGATCATTAAGTTAAAATACTTCCAAAAATTCCCTTGGTGGTTTGGTATATAATTGGAATCTCCAAATGGATATTTCAATAAACAGTTGGTGGTACTTTCTGTGTCTGATCTCTAGAAGAAATGTCATGGCTTTTTAAAGAAACTACTCATTAAAAGTTGCTGGTTTTACTTTCTTTTTAAAAGCCTGATTACAAATGATGCTTCTCTCCAAACCGCTGTAATGTCAAGTAGCTGATCCACAGCTCCGAGATGAGTGCAGAGCCACATGCTGACCTCTAATCCTTCTAATACCAAAGGCAGCCCGAGCTTCTGTCATTTTAGCCCTCCACTTAACCCAGCTGTGCAAATTAGACCAGACTCACAGGCCACAGACCTAAAGGGCCAGGGCTTCAGGCAAAGAGGATTTTAATGAAAGTTGAAAATACAGCCCTTGGCGCTGCTGCTGTAGCTCCTCAGGCAACTGATACTCTGCCATCAGATGTGCCATTATTTGGATGCTGTTAGGACTGATGACATTTTGGTGTGCTGGGGCGGGCGGGGGAACACGCAACAAAACAAGTTGCTCTCAAAAATATACACACAGATATAAGGTAACCAGGTTTCAAATTCTACAAAAATAGGTCTAAAACTTTGTTTATGATTAATAATAATAATAATAATACCGGAGCACTAGTGCATTGCAGAAATGGAAGTTTGATAAATGAATGCACTTGTTGGCATTTGGCCTTCGCAGCTCTTGAAACAAATGAAACACCCTCAGCTTTCCTGGAACATTTTGGTGGCTCATTTCAGCTGCTGTTCTGCAAAAATGAGTGATTCAACTGTCAGCTCTGCTGAGTAAAATGTGACTCTCCTCGATTCTCGCAGAAAACCAAAGCATAGCCTGGAGTCTGAGAGCTGTGAGAAAGTATGTAGGCTGCCCAGGTTCAACTACAAAATAAAAGGGCTCACAATATGCTTGGGGTAAAAAAAAATTTGAGGTTCTTTCAGCTGACATTTAGAGGAAAGCTCTGTGTGCAGGAAAACTGAAATTATCCCCAGAATTATAGAAGGCAAGAGAAAATTTAAAGATGGGCCAGGAAAACTTCCCAGTGTGAACTTTACTAACTGAAGTAGATTATTAGTATCAATCTTTCATATGTTAAGTTGGACAACATGGATAATACCAAAAATTATAACTTTTCCTAGAAGTACAGGCCCAGCAGAGGCAGCTAAATTTGCCCAGGGATGTGTCTAGCCCCACATGCCTGGCATTTATTGTACTTAATGTATTGTGTTCCATTTTTAAGAAAATGCTTAGATTTAGAGCTGTAGATCTGAACAGATAGTTGGTGGTGGTGGTAGGGATTTGTCTTCAGGAAGCATTCAGCAATTTCTGGAGAGATACTGGTCATCACAAGTAGGAGATAGGTAGGTGCCACTGACATCTAGAGACAGGGATGCTATAAAATGTTCTAGCCAGAAACTGGATCTCACCTTAAGTGGACACATGGCTGCCTCAGCATCTCACCTTCTGACTGCAAATTTGAGAACTGCAAGGGCATCATGTGTGTTCACACTACTAGCCTAACACTCAGAGCCATCATTTTATTTTAGCTACTATGCACTTACTCAGTCATAAAGAATCCAAGGTTGCTTAGAGGTTGGTTTTGAGGTGGCTGAGTTTTTTGTTATTGTTTTGTTTTTCTGTTGTTTTGTTACAACAAAAATGTGATCTTGCAGTAAATGAAGATATAGTAATATTTAATTTAGCTATTAAACTAAAGCATATGTCTGGTTCCTATTTCTGTTAGTTCCTCAAAATCTGTGATCATGTCTACAACCAGATTATTTAAAACAAAAAAACATACTTTTCAATATATTATTATTTTCAACATTACCTGGAAAATAAATGTGGTAAGTTAGTTGAGCCTGAAGTAACAATTGAAACATAAAGTACTTTAATACTAGACTCATCCTAGCTTAAATCTGACTTCAATTGTATTTTTAAATTAATTTTATTGGTATATTATAGATATACATATTAACATTTATCGTAGGGAATTTGTACCTATACATAATATATCTTTTATTTTTGTACTGGGAATCGAACTCAGGACCTCAGTCTTGCTAGGCAGGGGCTGCTTACTGAGCTGTATCTCTGGCCTACACAATATATCTTGATTCTTCTGTTTTACTTTTCCCTTCCCTTCTTTTACCTTCAATCCTTCTTCCCCTCTTTATTTACAAAAGCTTCATTTTCATTTTTCCTTCTATTAATTTATTCTTTTCCCTTCTTTCCTTTCCCCCTCCTGACTTCAGTTCTTAGTGGAGAATCAATTTTTACAAACTTCAGTTTTCTTCCCAAATAGTTAATAATGGTATCAATGTTATAAAGGCTAGAGATACTGTATATTAAGTGCCTCGCTAGTGAATATTCTGTAACTTAAAGAAATTAATAAAGAAGCAGTGATTTCAGGGTTTTCTAGTGAAACCTTTTGATTTATTATATTTCACTACAAAAAAGCATTGCTCAATCAGTGTTGTTTGTTTATGAGTTGCCCAAATGTCTCCCAGGCTGCTTCAGCCTTCTCATGCATGAGGATCTATTAGCAAATGTGTCATATTAAATTAGCTGCCCCAGAGACCATGAGCCTCTAGAGAAAGAAAAAATCCTGAGCTGCCTTTTGTCATGTCTCCTTCCTAGCTCAGTCACAAAAAGACATGTCATAAACAACAGAAAAGGCTTTCAGCATCTTATACAGAGGCGGTGCCCTGTCTTCCCTGTGTACTGACAGATAATGAATCAATGTAAGGCAGTCAAAATCCTTTTTTATTGACCTGCCTCAAATGGGCATTCCCCCAAGACCCTCGGATAAAAGGTGATTTCCAAGGCAATCTGGGACAGCTACAATAATTCACCTGCCCTCAGCTAAGGGGATAACTTTGAGTTGAAAGGCAGTAGTGACCTACTGTATCTCTTCTTGGGTCTGCACTGGAGGATGACAACAGCCTGGTCAAGAGGAAAGAAGGCAGGGATGATTCCCAATATTCAAATTTTGATCTGGCTCTACCAGCCAAGAGAAGAATGACCTTAGGAAGGCACCTTTACCTTAGTGGAACCTAGAAGAGGGTACCTTACCTCTCAGCCTTAGCTTGTTTGACAGGGAAAAAAAAAATAGATCTGGAAACATTTGGAAAACACAAATGAGAGTCATTGTTGTTATCATTGTTATTGTAACTTGTCATATCAATTAAATTATGTAAATCCCATTGACAGGTAAATTTTTTTAGGTCTCAATCACAATTTTGGGGGGTAGGGGAGAGAGACCAGCTGCTGAAACTCAGAACTAAAACTTTTCCCACCTATTCTACCCTTCTTCTCTACCAACTATTAGCAAAACCAATACCACCTTCCCACAAGACTGGAGTTAAATGCCCCATATTCACAAACCTGGCAAGCTCAATAGTCTCCCCGGAGCAGCAGGAGGTTTCAAACTGCCCTTCACACACATAACAGCAGAGACTACATGCAAATCAGTGGCTTCCACTATTTAAGAGCAAATGATTCCAACTGAAAAGATCTTCACCTAAGATTTTCCTCTACTTGTTATGTTTTTATGCATAACTTCTTATCTGTGCTTGATTATGCTGGAATAAGGCTATGAATATTAATAGTTGGAATTTATAATTTAGTGCTGTGCCTTTTCTGCTGATTAATTCAAGGACATTTTATTTCTTAAGAAGCTGGGTTCCTGGAGTAGTCAAATACATTTTCTAGGATGCTCATTTAAACATAGAATATTTATCTACCAATTCAAGTTGAAGGTGGGTATAAGCCTCACCATAACTTTTGTTTGAAAAGATAACTGTGTTGGATGTTGAGGTAGTTAACCTTAAATTTCTCAAGAAAACTTATTTTGAGTCTTACAGTAAAGACAGAGCTCCTTGTAAATTAATGAAATTGAGTTAAATAATGCATAATGTGATTAGGCCCTGGCTTGTACTCCACCTGTATGGAAAATGGGAGGCTTTCTAATTGATTGGTAACTTGGCTAAAAACCTGAAATGGGTCAAAACTGGAATACTAAATCACATTGCTTTTGCCAGCTCAGAAAAAGAAACTTTTGGATAGCTTCTATTGGCTGGAAAGAAGCAGTAAACAGAGGATTCAAGTTAGGATTTTAACCAAGGCTTGGTACAAAGTCCCAGAGAAAACCTTTAATGTGGTCTAATGTTGGACACGCCTAATGAAATACCTTTTCTGAAAGAACAGAACTATCAAGAAAGAAAGGAAGAGAAGAAGAAATTAAACAATTTTAAATATTATATATATGAAGGATGGGAGGAAGAGAGAGAAAAGATCCTGGGGAAAAAGAAGTAGGTAAAGAGAAAAACAAGGAGAAGGGACCATACAAAAGTGAGATAACCAAAAGAATCAAAAAAGAAAAAAGTAGAAGAAAAGAAAGAATTGAGAAATAAAGGTAAAGACAAATTAGAAGGGATGGTCAAGGCAACAGACTGAGGCAAATGGAATAAGACAAGAAAACAGAAATAGACTAAGAATAAAAGAAAAGGTGAGATAAGGAAGGGAGAACTAGAGAGGATGGAGGAGGGGAAAGAAATGACCACAAAAACTGGAGGAACAATCTAGAAGAAAACCAGAGGAAAAAAGAAATAACAAATGAAATAAAAATAGCAGGTTGAGGTTTGCAAGGGGACGTCGCATTCCCTGTCTGACTACATGAGGGCCCCAAGTCTGGAGTCAGTGCATCCCTGGTATAAATAATCTCATCCTGCTTTCTTCTTTTCCCTTGCTGTGAGGAACACAGACACGTGCTGGAGAATAAACACTACAACCACCATGGCATGCAAGATGCCATCTTTGATACAGTAAAGAGCACAATGTTTAATATGTCCCGAATAAAAACATGTTTTATTTTCCTTGTTGGTGTGTTACTGCCAGAACATTTGTTGCAAACACTTACTTTAGAGAGCTCTGTCTTGAACTTCTCGGAAAGGACATGAGCTGTGTATTCCAGGCGTTCCACTCTGTCCACGGGAAAGGTGGTATCTGGCAGGGAGACAGAGCACTGGCAGATCCCACGGTCATCCACGGTGCCGGTGAAATTAGAAAATGGCTGTAAATAATAAGATGAGCGTCAGTAATAAACCGGAAAGTGAGCCCTTTTGAAAACAGGAGTGACAGAAATTGGCTTGTCAAAGGAGAGCTTGGAGGCAAGGAAGTGAAGCCCAAAACACAAATGAATAAGAGCTAAGACACTGTTTTCAAGAGGCGGTAACTATACAGAGTTCAGCTGCATCTCGAGCTACTGGACTGAGCCTCTGGTTGCAGAGGAAGATTCTCCACTCCTGAGAAGTCTTAAAGGAACCCTTACTGTCTCTATGCAAAGAAAGGCAACTAGAGAACTATAGAAGGAAGGAGAGCTCTAAATTTACATATCAATTCTATTTACTCCACGGGATACTCTAAGTCTGTTTCTGCCTCGGTGACACCATGAGGCCATAGTCACAGGGTTCAGCATATGGCAGGTGATCAGGGCCTGTCACTTCCTCTGTTCTTCTATTGTCATTTTCTTTCCCCCACCTTTATCCTAACCTCAAACCAGGTCCTCCCCGAAAGAGAAAACCATCTAGGATGTGGGCCATGGTGAAAATAGATAATGTAAATTCATGTCTTCTCCTTGGATGGGAATTGTGTAATCCACATTCTTCAGAACGGAAACAGTGCAGTCATTTGCTAAAAACCAAGCAATGTATGAGTTTGGAGGCTTTGTGCAATATTTTTATAAGTAAAAGTTCTCCAGCTTATCACTTGCAGAAAAGTCATTTCAAAATATTTGATGTTTCTTTAAGATATTCAGGCTCACACTTCAGTGCCGCTGCATATTTTAAAATGACAGGATTGAAAGATTCTGTTTTTCTTTTGTCCCCTTTGAACTACCCCAAGGGGATCCTAGCACAATTAACATTTTTTTATTACTACCATTGCTTTAAAGAGTAAGACCTGGCAGCTGAATGGCTGCCCCTTTTAATGAGCTCATCTGAAGGCCCTCCCAAAGCTCACCTGTGGAGCAGCAGCCTGAGGGCCTGTGTGAAGCTATGAAGTACAGAACAGTGATTTTTTAGAACTAAAGAATCTCAAGCCACGTCTCAAAGTTCAAGCCATCTGGCTAGGCTCAGGTTGCATGCTGTATATCCACCAATCTTCAAGACTCACAAACAAGCTGAGTCTAGATGCTTCTGTAATCAAGACCCTCTGGGGCCATCAGTGACCTCTGGACCAACCAAGGCATTTGCAATGAAGCTTTTGTTTGTTTTGTTCTTAGTTTAACCTAAGCTTTTTTAGGATGAGTAGAGAAAAATAAAATACATGTACCTAAAATCCTTCATTCCAGGTAACTTCTTACCACTGACCTTATTTTTTTCTCTAGTCACATCCTCACACCTGCAGGAATAAACCAGCAAAGAGGAAGAACATGGGGTGTTAAGTGGATTAGGTCTTTGCCAGGATGAATAAGGATTGGACAACAAATACCAGCAGCCTGCCAGAGAGGCTGGCTTTTCTTGGGCCTAGCTCTGTTTCCCTCTCAGGATGGACTCTAAGTGAAGTCTGCCCAGTCTTTCACAGGAAGACTCACATATCACAAGCTTTTGAAGAAATAGCTTATTACAATAACTGTCTAGCAAAAAAAAAAAAGAAGAAGAAGAAGAAGAAATCTTGCATTGCAGTTGACAAGGAGAGGTTAACTAGCTGCAAAAAACAGGGTTGGGCCATTCTTAGAGTCCTCTGAAAGCTCAGCTCTGCCAACTCAGGAAACAGTGGATATCATCAAGCAGTCTCTAGACAAATCAAGAAGGAACCACTAGTTAACAACTTTTGGTCCTGAAGTTCACCTGAAAGACAGGCAAATAATTATGAGCCCTGCTGACAGCCGTTCCACATATTTCTACTGAACATCTCTGCCCCAGCGTTGTGGACTCCAAACTTCCATCCCGCTTATCATCAGCCCAGTGTGCTCAGCTGACATCGCAATGGCCCATAAGTTTGATCAGTGCCTCCCATTAGAGATATTTCTGCTCCTTGAATTCAAAGACAATGAAGCTAATGGTGATGAGTCTGTCTCTGTGGGGAATGCTTAAACTCTATGTAAGTGTAACATGGGGAATGGGAGACAAAGACAACTGCTGTCTCCTTGGCCTTTGGAAGGAAATGTGATCCTCCTTGTGTAAGGAAATAAGACCCTAGGAGTTCTACAAAACATGTATGCAGCTACGCACCCCCTCAGCCTTTGATCAGTTAGTATTTACCGATGTTGCCAATGTAGCAGATTCTGGCACTACACATTGAAAACCAGTTCCTGCCTCAGAATTGAACCTGTTGTCATTTTGAAAGCCTTTGAGAGGTGGGGTATTTTTTTTCCTTTATTTTCAACCAGTTCCATAACTTGACAACAAAATCACATGGCTCTTAGTTTGTTCAGTTTCTGTGTATGCAACAAAATCCTGAATCTTTGCCCAGTCCATGAAATGAGGACCAGAAGGGCCATTTCTCTGAAGGCAGATAGAGGGTTCTGAGCATGACAGTCGAAGGTACAACTCAAATTTGTGATGTAAGCCTGCGATGGGTTCTAATTAGCAGCCAAGTCCAAGTGCCCACAAAGATTTAAGGCATAATGGTACTCAACATTTTCCAAGTGCACAAAATGATACATTTGGAACTTGTTCAATGACAGTTTCAAAAGAGCTTTGTGCCACTTTTCCAAGACCTCATCGTACTGACAGCCAGACTCAGAAAATTAATTAGTTCTATGGTGTGATAGTGGATGGACACCTAGTCCACTATTTTAAAAAAAAGAGGGGAGTTGGAGCTGTGATACTGGCTCACCAGAGGGAGATAAGTAAAGTTGGAAGGAAATACCTAAGTATACCATAGTGACCATTCCTTATCTCCTTTTAAGTATTTGTCTTCTTATCAGACAATAGGCATTTGGAATTTCTCTATTTCTTTTTTTATTTTATTATACTTTTTTATTATTCTACACTTTTTTATTATCTTAGTTGATGATTTCACTCAAATTTAGATAATGATGAAATGCCATAACAAATTTTATTGTTATCTTTACTACAAAAAATGTGAACAAGTACTAATTATCCCCAGAAATTGTTCAGTATTATGTAACAAAATCATGCACTTGATTTTTTACTACAAAGAATCCCTGTACGTATTTATGATTCCCAAAACTTTCTCCTGTTTGATATACATCTCTACTCCGTGGAAATAGAAGCAGAAAATTACACATAGGGAGTGTGTTTACTATTCACAACCTGGAAATGACTTACAACCTGGGTGAAATAACCAAAACCAGCATAAGCATACCTAAATGCTCAACTACATAACTTGCTAACTTTGTAACTTTAACAAATCACTTCAGCTCACTAAGCATTACTTTTAATCTCTCCAAAGTGGAACCATTCAAACATAATGCAATATTATACGTACATAAAGAACAAAATTTTGTCATTTTCAGGAAAATGGATAGATCTGGAGATCATCGCACTGAGTGAAATAAGCCACTCAGAAGAACAAATATGATACATTCTCCCCAATATGTGGATTCTCAAAAAAGTGGAAATGAAGCTACTATTTGGTAAGAAAAAGGGAATAAGAGAGAAGGGGTCTATGAGATCCAATAACAGGAGAATGGCTATGATCAAAATGTGTTACATGCATTGAAATACCTCTAAGAAATGTGAAAGGGGGGAGGAGAAAATGGTGGCTGAGAGGAGGTGAAGTATTCACAGTGTGTTATATGCATGCACAAATTTGCCAAAATGAAACCCATTAATCTGTATAACCAACAAAAAAAGAGCAAAAAGGAATAAAGGAACAAACCTAGAAAAAGAACAAAAATAAATAAAATAGGACCATTAGTTTACTTACCTCTTAAATTTAAACAATATATGTTGTGTATTTAACCTAGTCCAAACCTTAGGCAGACAGTAAATATTATCACTATGGCTTCTAGCTAGGGCCAATCCAAATGCCCATTTTTATTGTCTACATATTCCTAATAGTACAAGTGAAAACAAGCAAGAAAAAAGCCCCTTCTTCCCCTTCTCCCATTTGCCTTTCCATCCAGGCATGCAAACGTGGATACATTGCTGCCTGATTTTTGAGAAGAGCCTAGAAGCACAGAGGGAAGAGCTTTGATGGAGTTGGGAGCCTCTTCCCCAAGTTACGTGGCAGCAAGTCTATCCCAGAATGGGTACTTGTTTCTTATCCTCTCATTTCTCACTCATCCTTCCCATTTCTTTAAAAAAGATCCAAAGAAGTTCATCAACGAAGGAACTATGGATCCTAAAGAGGGATTTCAACTACACCAATCCTTCATAATACATGATTTTTGATGGTTTGGCTTGTTGCTACAGTTATCTAGCCATAGAAATGGCCAATTTTCCTTAAGGAAGATTGAAAGGAGTTAACACTCCCTCAGGAAATATCTACATGTAGTGGCACTTTCCAATAATTATTCTCCCTTATTTCTGTTACCCATTTTCCTTATAATCTAGAAGCAGGAAAACTTCCAGGACTCCCACTACATGACTAAGGCTGTCATTCCCTGCAGGTCTGTTGTTCACATGGTGGGCAGGGGTGTGAATCTAGGCCACAAATCAATTGGACAAACTTTCGTGGAGCTTTAGCCTGCAGTGTCTTCTCCCTAATAGTTTCCATCCCATACTGCATATTACAATCACCTGGGGAAAGCTTTTTAAATATATGCAATTTGTAGACATCTGAGCTATGGGTCGGACCTAGGCAATATGGGCTTTTAGAATCTACCTGGCCACTGATCCTAATGCACAACCCAGTTTGAGTCATTCAAGTATACATTCTTTCTCCAAAGTTCCCAGCTAGAGAATTGGGATATTGTCACTCTTGCTAACAATTTAATTATTTCACACAGATTTTAATTCATTTCCAGGGCACCTGCAATGAACAGAAAGCATCGTAAATCTTTTAGAGTGCTCAGTTCCAGCCATCCATGAAATTATATTCAAGTCCCCAAAAAGCAAGAGGAAGGGAATGAAGGTAGCTCACTAGGTTTCTGGGGACTCCTCACCTTGGACACAGCACCACCTCCTCCCCAAGATGTGGCTGCTGAAGTCTCTTCCCAAGGAGCTATGTGCAGAACTTCAGGTTGAGTTGAACTTGGAACCCAGGTAGGGCCAGTGTTCTGGGCTCCCACAGTCCCAGAACAAAGGAAGGACAGAAGGGCTAGTAAGAAGCCAAGTCCTTGACTCATCTTGTCCTCTTAGCTGGATCCACTTGCTTCTTCACAGAGCCCAAGGGCTTCTTATAGTGCCCAGTGGGGATTTCCCAATGCCAGTTTGTGGGGAAAGAGGAAGGAGCCAGAGAACACGTGACTCAAGCCAGGAGGACCAGGGAACCTGAGTACCTGAGTCACGTCCACACCTGTCACTGAATCCTGCTCTGTGACCTGCCCTTAGATCTAGATTATTCCCTGCCAAACATTTGCTCAAATGTGCTTTGTCAAGCCCAAATCTGTTACTTCCTTGAAAGAGATGGTACAGATATATTCCTTACAGTTCAGAGAGAGTTCAGTGGTTCCAGGAAGGAAAAGAAGCATTTGATCCTTTGCCTAGAAGCACTTCTGAGTATTTACTCTCATTTTACTGAATCCTGCTTTCCTGGGAAAAACGGGTCACTTGCTCTGCTGACTGTATTTTTCCCCCAAAGCTTCATGAAGCTGTCTCTTTGGTTCTCACTGTCCAGGTTACTTCTGACCTGTGCCTCATGGTGTCTGCCTCTAAACCAAGTTCTCTCAAAAACCCCACTCTGAAGCAAGGATCAGCAGGACTTTGTTCCCTAGAGATCTATGCAGAACTCTGTACTATGCGGTACTTACTTCTGTGCACTCTATGTAGGGAAGGAAAACCACCCCAGCAAATGAAGGGTCCCAAATGACCCAAGGCTTGCTCCCCAAAGCTCAGGTGTTATTATCGTAGACTCAGTTGAGGAGATCCGATGGTGAGCAGTTTACCTCTCCAGGGGCCCATCTGACCTCTCCTGGCCCTCTCATGAGCTAGCCAGACATTCAAGACTTCATGCGAGTGAGAAATAGGGTGCATTCACTCTCATCCAGCTCTCCTGGCCATGGGCTTCAGGCTCCATTTGCATCTCTCCAACACTGTACACACCTTTATGATCTCTGCCTTCCTCCTTGCAGAGAAGAAAAGATTGGCCTGAACTTAAAATGCAGCTAGATCTCTCATGAGTCAGTGGACCTAGCCGTATCACAGAACCTCCAAGGGTTATAACAATTCCTAAATTGCTATAATTAAATAAAATATACACTGAAATTTGCTGATAAGGTTTGAAGCGGTATACAAATGTCAGTTTTTTGGTTTCATGTTTAATTTCCTAAAGCTTAGATTAATATTAATGTGTGGTTCAAAACAAAGAAAGCAAACTCATGCTCTGCTCCATCCCTGTCCTATCCCAGGAGCACTTTGAGAGACCAGGTTTGCAGGATTCTTTCACAGCATAATCTCACAGGACTCCTCAACCTCTCAGAATACACATACTGCTAATGTGAACACTTAGTTAGGGGACTCCCAAAGTTCTACTTCTTCAACACTTGCAATATGCAGGAAAGATACATATAGTCATCACTTTAGTTTAATCCTCCTGTTATCAAAATGCAATGCCAAACCAGAATCTTAAACCCATGGTGCACTTATTCAGAGATTCAGGAAAGGACGTGGGCAGGAAAAATGCAAATAGATAAATAGAAGTGAAGGAGAGAGACTACAGAAGAAAGGAAGGTAAGTTTATCTCATTTAGGTCAATCCAAGGTCTCCTTGGGCTGCATCCTCGAGCCAGTATCCCTCAACTCAGAGGGAAGAGTGGATATCCCATCCAGACCAGTCTCCCCAACTTCAAAGTCCATATCCTCCCAGCCACCCTGGCTGATGTTGCTATTGTCAACCAATCTCCACACTAAAAACAGATTTGTGGAGCCACTCACGTATATTTTCTCAGGGCAGTCTCTTCTCAGGCCAATCTTGTGCCATATCACGTGATTGTGGGAAAGAGTAGCAGTTAGAGGAGACCCAGAAAGGACAAGAGCACTTTCCCAGCAGCTTCTAGAAACAACATGTTCTACCTACATCACCTACAATGGTAATTTACGGCAAAAATAAAGGTCAGCAATGAGTGATTCATGGTCAGCTGTTAGGAGATAAGAAAAGTATTTTTAAGCCTCCCTTTATTCATATTGTGCTCTATGTAGGGTTGCCAGATTTAGCAAATAAAAATGTAGGCACCTACTCTCAATTTGTAATTCCAATAACAAGTTTTAGTGTAAGTACAGTGGTACCTTGGTTCATGAACTTAATGTGTTTGATGATAGGGGGGAAAGATGGCCACATTTGTGTTTGTGTGAGGAACATGGCTGCAATTGTGTTTGTCACCTGATGAGCAGTTTGTGAGCAGAAGCAAAACTTTGTCAAATAGTTTTGTTTAAGAGCCAAAGTGTTTGTGAACTGAGCTATTACTATATGTCCCATGCAATATTTGGAACATACTTGGACCAAAATATATTACCTGCTTAACATTTACATTGAATTAGATATCCTGTATTTTATCTAGAAACACTGCTATTGAAACTAAAAGAGAACTGTGAAATTCATTGTCCTCTGTTAGAAGCAATTCAGACTTGACCTCTTTGGCCTAATGTTCTAGACCTTCAATGCCTGGTCCAAGATAGGGAAATCACAGGGCATGTGTGAGAATAGAAATTAGCACATGGAATCCATCACTCTGAGATTGAGTCCCATGAATATAGATAGAGAGAGGAGAACATGGCTCTACATCCCATCTCAACTCCTCTCTTCCTCCTGATTCTCATCAAAGCAAAGGGCAAAATCTGTTCTCATTTGCTTCTACTCTCTGCCTATGATTCTAATGAGCTTTCCTTGACCCCTTTTTTCAAAGAGCAGAAAAAGGAAAAACTTGTTAACAATGGTTGCCTGTCGTCATGACTACATTTGAGAGCTTCAGTGGGCAATCCTTTAGAAGACCCCCTGCCACAAAGGTTTGTTCTCCTGTGAAAAGTAGGACAGCACTTCTCTCCAACACAAAGGTACCTTTCCCAGGAAAACAACTACCCCACTGTGCTCCTAGGCTGCTTGTTCCTGTACGTATCCATAGTTTCCAGAATAAAGCTTTAATCTCTTCGGTAGCCCCAAATGCACAAAAGCATTGCAATGCCTTAGTAATGAGATTACTAATAATAATAGTGTGATCAGTTCCTCTGCAAATACCTTTGTCCTGAAAAACAACAAGCTTTCTGTTATTTGACAGCCTCAAAGATAAAAAAATGATCCAGGCTGCAAAGCAAACAGTGTTTTATTTATAAAACTGTATTCTGACCCTGGGCTTCCTCTAGAGTAAAGGGTCAAGGATATTCACCTGAGTAATACAGCATTCTTCACTGACAGATTGAAAGAAAGTTACTATTTATGCACTTAGTTTGGGGAACTCCCCAAGATTGTATTTCTTGAACAGTTGCAACACACAGGAAAGATACCCATACAGTTACCTCTTAATTTAATCCTCCTGTTTCTAAAAACCAATGTCAAACACTGCAGTACTTTCAGAAGATAATTCCCTTATGGTTACCTGATTTATACAAGAATAATAGAGGATGGTTTAGTCTGCAGATTGACAATGGAAGCTGTGTAGCAGTGACCTTTTCATGTAAATCGATTATGTCCCTAACTACCCTCAAATCTCTGTGAAATCTCTCTTAGCAATACCAGTAAATGACACGTATAATAATCAATTGCTGCCACGCATTCAATCTGAAAAGCAGTCCTTTAGCAAATGTGTATTAGAGCCTACTATGTGCAAAGTATCAGACCCTATGGTGGGCTACAAAGAAAGTAGAAAGGAGAAATTTGCTAAAGAAAATTCTACTTACTTAGAAATTGCAGGCCACTTCAGGTTCATAGAATAGAAACAACAAATTTATCACAACATCATTTACATGACCACTAAGGAATGATTGGTGATCCAGCCCAGGTAGGTGAATATGTGAAGAATTCATTAGGGGTGAACTTCTTGAGGATAAAGACGATGACCTCATCTATTTCAAGTTCCCAGCACCTATCCTAGTGCTGGCCCTTGGTGCCCAATAATATCTGCACAGCCAGTAATATATTTAACAAAAGAATGAGCATATGCATGGAATCAATAGGTCAATTTAGCAAAAAATTATGAAGGAAATTCTTAATGATGACTGAAGAAAATACCCATTGCTTAAGTAGTACTGGAGAAAAGGAAGAGAATTTCAAGCAAGAAAGTTTCATGAGTAAAAGAATTTAGGCAAGTTGTATTCTCTATAGGATAACCACCATGCCCCTTGCAAGCTCCCGTAGCCAACTAATTCATCCCCACATTGAAACTATCAGCGCTGTTATTCAACCTGATTCAAACCCCCAACTTAACTTTACCAACTCTCGTTTTTGTATCAGAAACTACCCAGATTTGACCATCTCATCACGGCTTAGTATATTTAATCCTCAACTTACATAATTTTCAAATAATGTTTACGTTTTTTCAACCTGCAGCAAAATCATCACTGTTGAGAGAATGCAAAACCAAACTAGTAAATGGGACAATTTTGATAGAAACCAATGCAAATGCCTGTGAAAATCCTGAAAGGAAATAGCAGAAGAGTTAAAAGGTAACGAATATTAATTGAGGTGAGGAAGAAACGTTATGTACTCCACAGAGGAATTTGAGACAAATGAGCTCCAACATACTCAGAAGAAATTCTATCTGTCAAGAAACACACTCCACCCACACCACCAGAGGTAAAAATACTCCGGAGACATCAAACCTCAGGCTTATCTTTGTACCCCTCCAGATGGGTCTTCCCAGATATCTAGAACCTAGGGCTACCCCAAAATTCCTCTTGCCATCTCCTAACTGCTGTAATGAGATGCTCTTCATTCCACCCCAACATATAGCAGAGTTTTCCGTGGTTCTTGAATATTATAAATCATTTGGCTATCCCTCAAAGGCCGAGTAACCTGGTTTCTCCAAACAGAGGTAAGATGCTTTATCTTCTTGCTTGTCTCTTTGCCAAAATCTCTACTTCTTTCATATCTAAACTGTCTAAGTTATATATCCAAGTTCCTAGCAAGATAGAGTTTCTCCACACTTGGCATGTATCTAGCCCTATACACTTCTTGCTGTGAGACAGAAACAAACTCTTGTTCCATCTACCATGAGATGTCACTTGGAAATGTT